AAGATGTTGGAACTAAAGTTCAGAATAACAATTATAAACATACTAGCTGGGCTTGAAAAAAACAAAGAAGACACTAGAGAATCCCTTTCTGGAGAAATAAAAGAACTAAAATCTAACCAAGTCGAAATCAAAAAGGCTATTAATGAGGTGCAATAAAAAATGGAGGCTTTAACTGCTAGGATAAATGAGGCAGAAGAGAGAATTAGTGACATAGAGGACCAAATGATGGAGAATAAAGAAGCTGAGAAAAAGATAAAATACAACTGGATCACGAAGGGAGAATTTGAGAGATAAGTGATACCATAAAGCTAAACAATACTAGAACAATTGGGATCCCAGAAGAAGAAGAAAGAGAGAGAGGGGCAGAACGTATTTGGAGCAAATTATAACAGAGAACTTCCCTAATTTGGGGAAGGAAACAGACATCAAAATCCAGGAAGCAGAGAGAACCCCCCTCAAAATCAATAAAAATAAGTCAACATCCCGACATCTAATAGTAAAACTTGCAAATCTCAGGGACAAAGAGAAAATCCTGAAAGCAGTGTGGGACAAGAAGTCTGTAACCTACAACAGTAGGTTGGCAGCAGATCTATCCACAGAGACCTGGCAGGCCAGAAAGGACTGGTGTGATATATTCAGGGAACTAAACAAGAAAAATATGCAGCCAAGAATACTATATCCAGCTAGGCTGTCATTGAAAATAGGAGTGATAAAAAGCTTCCAGGACAAGAAGAACTTAAAAGAATTCATCATCACCAAACCAGCCCTACAAGAAATATTGAAAGGGGTCCTCTAAGCAAAGAGAGAGCCCAAAAGTAACATAGACCAGAAAGGAACAGAGACAATATACAGTAATAGTCACCTTACAGGCAATACAATGGCACTAAATTCATATCTTTCAATGGTTACCCTGAATGTAAATGGGCTAAATGCCCCAATCAAAAGACACAGGGTATCAGATTGGATAAAAAAGCAAGACCCATCTATATGCTGTCTGCAATAGACTCATTTTAGACCAAAGACACCTCCAGATTTAAAGTGAGGGAGTGGAAAACCATTTATCATGCTAATGGACATCAAAAGAAAGCGGAGGTGGCAATCCTTATATCAGACAAATTAGATTTTAAGCCAATGACTGTAATAGATGAGATAGGACACTATATCATACTAAAGGGTCTATCCAACAAGAAGATGTAACAATTTTAAATATTTATGCCCCTAACATGGGAGCAGCCACTTATATAAGCCAATTAATAACAAAATCAAAGAAAGACATCAAAAATAATACAATAATAGTGGGGGACTTAACACCCCCCTCACTGAAATGGACAAATCATCAAAGTAAAAGATCAACAAGGAAATAAAGGCTTTAAATGACACACTGGACCAGATCGACTTCACAGATATATTCAGAACATTCCATCCCAAAGCAACAGAATACACATTCTTCTCTAGTGCACATGGAACATTCTCCAGAATAGATCACATCGTGGGTCACAAATCAGGTCTCAACTGGTACCAAAAGATTGGGATCATTCCCTGCATACTTTTGGACCATAATGCTTTGAAACTAGAACTCAATCACAAGAGGAAAGTTGGAAAGAACTCAAATACATGGAGGCTAAAGAGCATCCTACTAAAGAATGAATGGGTCAACAAGGAAATTAAAGAAGAATTAAAAAAATCCATGGAAATAAATGAAAATGAAAACACAACTGTCCAAAATCTTTGGGATGCAGCAAAGCTGGTCCTAAGAGGAAAGTATATAGCAATACAAGCCTTTCTCAATCAACAAGAAAGGTCTCAAATACACAACATAACCCTACACCTAAAGGAACTGGAGAAAGAACAGCAAATAAACCCTAAACCCAGCAGGAGAAGAGAAATATTAAAGATCAGAGCAGACATCAATGAAATAGAAACCTAAAGAACAGTAGAACAGATCAACGAAACTAGGAGCTAGTTCTTTGAAGGACTTAATAAGATCGATAAACCACTGGCCAGACTTATTCAAAAGAAAAGAGAAAGGAGCCAAATTAATAAAATTATGGATGAAAGGGGAGAGATCATGACTAACACCAAGGAAATAGAAACAATTATTAGAAATTATTATCAACAACTCTTTGCCAATAAATTTTGCAACCTGGAAGAAATGGATGCCTTCTGGGAAACCTATAAACTGCCAAGACAGAAACAAGAAGAAATTGACAACCTGGGCCAATAACCAGTAATGAGATTGAAGCAGTGATCAAAAAACCACCCATAAAACAAGAGTCCATGGCCTGATGGATTCCCTGGGGAATTCTACCAAACATTCAAAGAAGAAATAATACCTATTCTCCTGAAGCTTTTTCAAAAAATAGAAACAATAGGAAAGGTTCCAGACTCATTCTTTTTTTTTTTTTTTTTTTACAATTTTACTTATTTATTTGACAGAGAGACACAGCGAGAGAGGAAACACAAGCAGGGGGCATGGGAGAAGGAGAAGCAGGCCTCCTGTAGAGCAGGGAGCCCGATGCGGGGCTCGATTCCACAACCCTAGGATCACAACCTGATCTGAAGGCAGACGATTAATGGCTGAGCCACCCAGCTGCCTCCTTCCAGACTCATTCTATGGCACCAGCATTACCTTAATCCCCAAACCAGGCAAAGACCCCATCAAAAAGGAGAATTTCAGACTGATATCCCTGTACAGCAAAGGAAACAGTCAACAAAACAAAGAGGCAACCCACAGAATGGGAGAAGATATTTGCAAGTGACACTACAAAGGGCTGATATGAAAGATCTATAAAGAGCTTCTCAAACTCAACACCCCAAAAACAATCAAGTCAAAAGATGGGCAGAAGACATGAACAGACACGTCTCCAAAGAGGACATACAAATGGCTAATAGACACATGAGAAAATGTTCATCATCATTAGCCATCAGGGAAATTCAAATCAAAACCACATTGAGATACCACCTTACACCAGTTAGAATGGCAAAAATTGACAAGGCAAGAAACAGCAAATGTTGGAGAGGTTGTGGAGAAAAAGGAACCCTCTTACACTGTTGGTGGGAATGCAAGTTGGTACAGACACTTTGGAAAACAGTGTGGAAGTCCCTCAAAAAATTAAAAATTGAGCTATGCTATGATCCAGCTATTGCAGTACTGGGTATTTACCCCAAAGACACAGATGTAGTGAAAAGAAGGGCCATACGCACCCCAATGTTCATAGCAGCAATGTCCGCAATAGACAAACTGTGGAAGGAGCTGAGATGCCCTTCAACAGATGAATGGATAAAGATGTGGTCCGTATATACAATGGGATATGACACCACCATCAGAAAAGATGAATACCCAACTTTTACATCCACATGGATGGGACTGGAGGAGATTATGCTAAGCGAAATATGTCAAGCAGAGAATGTCAATTATCATATGGTTTCCCTTATTTGTGGAACATAAGGAATAGCATGGAGAACATTAGGAGAAGGGAGGGAAAAATGAAGGGGGTGAAATCAGAGAGGGTGATGAACCATGACAAACTATGGACTGTGAGAAACAAACTGAGGGTTTTAGAGGTGAGGGGGTGGGGGGATTGGTTATCCCGGTGATGGGTATTAAGGAGGGCACAAACTGCATGGAGCACTGTGTGTTATACAAAAACAATGAATTGTGGATCACTACATCAAAAACTAATGAGGTATTGTATGGTCACTAACATAGCATAATAAAATAAAATTAAATTAAAATAATATATAAAGGAGAATCTGAATAGACATTTATCTAAGGAAGATATACGATGGTCAAAAAGCACATAAAAATATGTTCAACATTATTAGTCATTAGGGAAATATAAATCAAAATAATCAGTGAAATAATATTTCATACCCACTGGGATTGCTAAAATAAAAAATGTCAATATGGCACCCATTGGTTAAGCATCTGACTCTTGATTTCAGCTCAGGTCATGATCTCAGGGTCGTGAGAGCAAGCCCTCTCTTGGGCTCTGCACTGAGCACGGAGCCTGCTTGAGATGCTCTCTCTCCCTCTGCTCCTCCCCCATTCACGCATGCTCTAAATAAATAAATAAATAAATAAATAATTGCTTTAAAAATAGTCAGTTAATGAAATGTGTTTACAAGGGTGTGGAGAAATAGGAATCCTCATACAATGATGGTGGAAGTGTAAATTTATGTTGTAACTTTGGAAAACAGCCTGGCAGTTTTTCAAGCAATTAAACATGTAGTAACCATGTGATTCAGCAATTCCTCTCCTATGCATATATTTAAGAGAAATGAAAACATGCTACATTATGGATTAATCTTGAAAGCATTATACTAACGGAATGAATCCAGTTACAAAGGGCCATGTATTATATTATTCCACTCATATAAAAGCCCAGGATAGCGATATCTATAGAGACAGAAAGCACGTTAGTGGTTCCTTAGGGCTAGCAGAAATAGGAAGGGTAGGCAGATGAGAACTGGAGGGTACAGGGTTATCTTTTATGGTGATAAAATTTTTCCAAAAGGGATTGTTGTGATGATTGCACATATCTGTGAGTATACTTAAAACCACTGAATTATATAGTTGAAAGGATGAATTATATCTCAGTAAAGGTGTTTTTTAAAATTGCTCTGAATACTGACAATTGAATGAGCTTCCTGGTAGGGAACATCTCACACCTGTTGTCATAACTTGGTGGATAAATTAAAAGAATCTTGCGTGACTCCCCTGGAAGTGGACCCTGGGAACCTTGTACCTAGTTTCTGCTAGTTTTCACTCTATGTGTCTTTTCTCATTATTAATTTTATTTTATTGTGTGATCTTTTGCTGTAGTAAATTTTAACCTTGAGTACTACTGTATGCTGAATCCAGTGAATCCACCTAGAGAATGATTGTATCTGGATATTGCCTTGAGGAACTCTGATACAACAAATTCTGGCTTAAATTTTTTGAAATATTGAGAGAAGATATATAAAATCCTTGGATAATTTCTATCAAATATACTCACCTCTGTTATCAATTTGTTGTACAGAATTTTGTTCTTCAGTTTCCTTTCTTTGGCTAAGTGGAGGTGACTGGAAAACAGGCCTCCAAAAACCTGTAAATATATTAAATAGACTCAATTATTTTCCAATTCCTAATAAAATAAGATTGTAGAAAGGAAAAGTTTATATGATTCTGCAGTGAAGAAATATTTCTGATAATACTATTTTTCTTCAAATACTATATTAGTAACAGGGATCCTCTTCCCAATTTTCATAGAATTTATTATAGCAATATCGAAAACTGAGTTAAAAATATTCCACCATAGGGGTGCCTGGGTGGCTCAGTCAGTTCAGTCCCTGACTCAATTTCTTCAGGTCATGATCTCAGGGTTGTGGGATCAAGCCCTGCATTGGGCTCTGCACTCAGCAATGGGGTCTGCTTGAGATTATCTCTCTCCCTCTGCTTCTGCCCCTCCCCACACCCACACCCACACACTCCCTCTCTCTCAAAATAAATAAAATCTTTAAAAAAATTCTACCATATACTGGTGATATATTTGACTCGTAAAAATTCAGCAGATTCTCAGTTCACTTCCTCTAAAGAGTTTTGTAGACAGTTCTTGTCCTAATAAATGAAATACTGGGTGTAAAATTGTGTAAAAAGTATCCATTAAGATGACTACTATCAAAAACACAAAAAGTAAGTTAGTGGGAATGTAAAATGGTATAGCCATTATAGAAAACAGTATGGCAAATCCTCAAAAAATAAAAAAATATAATTATCTTATAATCCAACAATTATTCTTTGATTATATATATCCAAAATAAAAGCAGGATTTCAAAGTGATATTTACACACTCATATTCTTAGTGGCATTATTCACAATAGACAAAAATGACAGCTACACAACCCCATCTATCCAGGGACAGATGAATGATTAAACAAATCTGGTATATCCTTATAAAATAATACTATTTATCCTTAAAAAGGAAGGAAATTCTGACATATGCAACAACATGGATGAATACAAGGACATTATGCTGATTGAAAGAAGGCAGGCACAAATACACAAATACTGTATATGAAATAAATACTTATATGAGATGCTTAGTCAAATCATAGAGAAGGAAACAAACCAGCATGGGGGAAAAAAGAGAGAGAGGCAAACCAAGAAACAGACTCTTAACTATAGAGAACGAACTGATAGCTATAGCAGGAGGTGGGTTCAATAGGTGATGGGGATTAAGGAGTGCACTCTTGATGAGCACCAGGTGTTGTATGGAAGTGTTGAATCACTAAATTGTACACCTCAAACTAATATTACACTGTATGTTAACCAACTGGAATGTAAATAAAAACTTAAAAAAATCGCAGAGAAAGGAAGTAGAATGGTGGTTGCCAGGGACTGAAGAAAGAGGGAAATGGGAGGTTATTGTTTAATGGGTATAAAGTTTGTTTCACAAGATGAAAAGAGTTCTGGAGACTGGTTGTACAACAATATGAATGTACATGCCATTGAACTGTACACTTTAAAAATGGTCAAGATAGTAAATTTTATGTAATGTATATTTTACCATAATTTTTTCATGAAAAAATGGCTAACAATAGGCTATGGCAGGGTATGAGGGTAAGAAGATATGGAAATATGTTCATGTTAAACAATGGATATTTCGATTCAATAATGCCAAAATGACAGTACTTGGTATAAAATTTTATTTTATTTATTTATTTTTTAAAGATTTTATTTATTTATTTGACAGAGAGAGACAGAGCAAGAGAGGGAACACAAGCACGGGGAGTGGGAGAGGGAGAAGCAGTCTTCCCGCTGAGCAGGGAGCCCGATGTGGGGCTCGAACCCAGGACCCTGGGAGCATGACCTGAGCTGAAGGCAGACGCTTAATGACTGAGCCGCCCAGGCTCCCTGGTATAAAATTTTAAAGTGCACCATAAATTCTCAACATCATTATAATATAAGCATAGAAGTTGAGTAAATGAGTTAATATTATTAGTAAGCTTTATATTGTCCTCAGGAAAGGCATTTTGTAAAAAAAAGGATAAAGCAAAAACGTGTTTTGTGGGGTGCCTGAGTGGCTCAGTCATTTAAACATCTCCCTTTGGTTCAGGTTACGATCCCAGGGTCCTGGGATCTAGCCCCACCTCTGGTTCCCTGTTCAGCAGAGAGCCTGCTTCTCCCTCTCTCTCTGCCCCTCCCCTGCTCATACTCTCTCTCTCTCTCTCAAATAAATTAATAAAATTTTTTAAAAACATGTTTTTTGTAACCAAGTATCATTTAAAAAACCTATTGTCATTTAAAATCCATGGTCAGAGGAATAAAAAGACTTAATTTTCGACCTGGGACATGCAGCAAAGCCATTTTTCCTATCTCTTTACCATAAGACAGCTAGAGAAGGGACAGACAGTGCAAGCTAACTTTAAGAAGAGTGTATTGCTCATTTGGAAGTGAGCATAAGTAGCACAAAGAGTAATTTTTCTAAACCCATGGGCTTCAAAATCACATTTAGCCTATCAGTTTATATTTTCAATATACAACAGCTGAAGATGGGTGAAAACAGCTAGCAAAATTTTGGTTTTACGTATGAAAGGGCATCACCTATGGATGAACCATACCCCAATGCATGTTTTACACTAATAATAATCAACAAATTAGGTACAGTCTAACTGCAAATATTTAAAATGTTTCAAAGCCTTTTATTAAAAAAATTAGACTCAGCTAAAGTGTAATTTATTGACTGGTTTCATGTGGAGTAATATTATTTTCTCAGATTATTAACTTCATGAAGTCACAGATGTAGTTGAGATAACACTAGACTAGGAGTTTCTATGCTCTAAGCTTAACCACTAATTACCTATGTGACATTTAGGGAAGTAGTCTGTTTGAGCCTCAGTTTCCTCAATTTTGAAGCAGGTATAATAATGCTATACTGCATTAGCTCTTTCTAAACTAGAAGAAGATGAAGTTAAACAACAGTTGAGATATAAGTAACATACTTAAACTTGATTAAGAACTCAGGCTCTGGAATCAGATAAACCCAGTTTTAAAGTCCAGAACAACCCACTTGAATATTTTAGCTTCACTGTTGTCACTGTAAAATTGGGATAATACTTTCTTCTTAGCTGAAAGATAGTATGTCTTCATGTTTAACAACATAGATTTTGGAGCATGGGTTCATGTCCTGTCATTTATTGTGTTACCTTGGTTAATTCTTTGTGCCTCAGTTTCTTCATTGGTAAACTAGAAATGATAATAGTGCCTAACTCCTGGGGTTGTTGTAAGGTTTTAATGAATTCACATGTGTAAGACTCATCAATTAGCATTAATTAATTTGTGCTGGTGAATTGGTACTAACAAATCAGCATGTGTAAAATGCTTAGAATTGTTCCTGGCAATGCTATATAAAGCTTAGCTATTATCAGTAAAGGATGGGATTAGGTATAGTAATGCATGTGACTTGTGTAGCATAGAGCTTGACACTCAATATTAGATGGTTTATTATTTTCACAGTAATGGACTTTGAAAGGCTGGGGTGCTATGTAAATTTGAGTATTATACTTTATATTTTTATTATAATGTATGCTGAGCATATAGTAAGCATTAGATTGACAAAATTTTATAAAGCACATCAATAACAATGCAGTTGAGTCCCTTAGAAGTAGTTATGCTATTTCAGTGGACACTTATTAGATGTTGTTTGAAAATATCAAAAACTGAAGCTGGGTGAGAAATGTGAATCTTTACACCCTCCATGCTGATTAATTCAACTCTTACAGGATTGTAATATTGCCTTGTTAGAAGAGAATGATATTGCATCAGGAGAGAATTAACTTAGTGTTACAAAATTCAAATCCAGTGAAAACATTGTTTTTATTATTATTATGTTATGTTAATCAGCATACATTACATCATTAGTTTTTGATGTAGTGTTCCATGATTCATTGTTTGCGTATAACACCCAGTGCTCCATTCAATACGTGCCTTCTTTAATACCCACTACCAGGCTAACC